GTTACCGAACTCAAGGGGTTTGTTTTGCCTGCACGCATCAAAGCCAGAGGACACAAGGACAGGAGTTTGCAGCAAAGAAAGTAGAGGTTTATTTAAGGAGATGGCACCAAACCCAGAGCCCCAGATTTGCGAGTGCTCAAACACCGGGCTCTGTGATGGCCTCCAAGGAATCGATGACATAGAGGAAAACTCATTAGTGACGGGCTGTAAGGGAGGTGGGGTCATGGGCTCTCCCGATTGGTCGGGGCTAGGGTAGGAGGCAACCGATCACTGCATCAGGTCCTCAAGTCAGTCATGGCGTCATTCTGTCTGGTTTCAGGGGGATGCTGGCAGGATCCTTCCACTTTCATGTGTCTGGAGCTGCGAGATGTTACCTTTAGTTTGAATGAAATTGTTTCTGTGGTCAACAGACCTGAGGCTTTGTTCCTAAGACTTTTTGATGCTGACCTAAAGGCTTAATGGTTAAGGGAATGGCCATGCTATATGCAGAAGGAGGAGGAAAGAAAAGAAGCAAGTGAATCCAAGTCTAATTTGAATCAAGGAGAAAGAGAAGAGAAAAAGTAGTTTTTAAAGAGTAAAGATTTGCATAGTTGCTTAGTTACAGCTGTTTTGGGCTTTATCTAGAGGCATCCCTTCCTCTCCTTTAGAGAAAGATTCCTGCCTGTTATTTGGCATCACGCGTTCTTCTGACAAGAGCTATAGTTTGCTGAGCATCTATTATGTGCCAGACACAGTGCTAGGCACTTGGCTGCATTATCTCATTTAAGCCAAGCAACAGGCAGTGATTGAACATTATCTCTGTATCCCACACCAGGCCAGGGGCTGAGTGACTGGGAATAAGATTAAAAAAGAGACAGAACATTGCAGGCACTCACGTCTAACGAGAGAGAAAAACAAAACTGACATCTAGAGCGTTGCCGTGGAGATAAATGATCGGGCCTGATTGGGTCTCCTGGCCTGATGACCAGGTACACTGCGCTGGGCGACTCCCTCCTGATTCAGGCACCTCACGTACCTGCCGAGGCAGCTGGATGCCACAACCCGACCTGAGTCAGACAGCGCCTGTGTGTGCGCCCAGGAAGACCACCTCCATCCAAGCCGGATCAATGCGCCAGGTCCCTAACTAAAGCCCAGGTGCCAGCAGCCTGTCAGTAACACCCAGGGCCTTTGCTTTTCTAACATGGGGAAGGGACAGTCCACGGCCTTCTGGCTTTAGTAAACTACCTCATTTCTCCTCCCACATGCTCCGATCCGAAGTTTTCCTGGACTGTACTGGATTGGGCTTTCTGCTTAAAAGTAGAACAACTTTTTTTTTTTTTTTTTTCCACTCGGCACACAATCTTTGGTTTCTAATAGTTAAAAAAAAAATTTTTTTTTTCTTTAACAAAGGCAAAGTGGAGCACAGAGAAAAGAAGGGTGAATTTTATCCGTAGGAGTTGGAAAAGTATTCTGGAAGAGGTTACCCTTCAGGCTGGGACCAGAATGATAACAGAGAGGTTTTTTTTCAAGCTGACAAAGGAATGGAAGAAGCACATTCCAGGCTCTAAGTAAGACATGAGCAAAGGAAGAGCTACATGCAAATATATGACCCGTGCAGGCCAGGCCATTTAGTTGTGGTCACAGGGTAGATGTTTGATGAGAACTGTAGGGTGCTTCCTGGAAAGTGAGGTTGAGACAGACTTCAAAGATAATACTCAGGGGTTGAGAATTTTCCCTGTGGACCAAGGGTTGCAAACTCAAATGCCTACAAGGACCTCTGAGATAACCTTAAATGAATGAAAAAGGTAGATTTTATTCTTTCTACATGGACACATTTTTGGGGGGAACTGGGAGCACTCACATTGTACCTACAGGGATGTTCTTCACACCCAAAAAGTAAATACAATCTTTATTCATTCAGAGAGTACCGACTGAGCATCTTCTGTGTGCCAGGCACTGTTCTAAGCCCTGGCTGTTTTTTTTATTTTTTGGAAAGTGTAGACCTCTAAGTTTGTGTTTTCTTTTCTCACTTTTGCTAGAGATGTGAATATAATATATATTTTTTTACTATTAAGGAAAGCTGAGAGCGTGGAAGCAAGGCAACAGACACTCTAAAAAGAGGGGTGGGGAAAATCGGGGAGATGAGGGAGAACTGGAGAATCTGTGTCCTGTCTGAAAGGGCATCTTCGATTATGGCCATGCCGAGGATGAGACTGGTGGAGTGATCATTTCAGTTTTTTTTTTTCCTCCAGAGAAAATGGGAATATGGAGTTTAAAAATGTAATCTCACCAAATTTTTACGTTGGTTAAAAAATTTAACTTACTATGCCGTCCACACATGACCTGTTGGCAGGGGGCAACGGAGTTGTGGGTGAGCTGTCAGATCTCTGCCATCCTCTGCTCTAGGCAGTAGAGGTGTGGCCAAGACTAGATTCTTATCCACTATTCACAGTCCCCTTCTTTCTTAAAAACAGAATCCCGAGGTAGTCAAGGTGGCAATGTGCCCAGCTAATAACCATATTTCCCAGCCTCCTTTGCAGACATATGACTCCCACGTGACTAAGTTCTGGCCAATGAGAGACAAATGGCTGTGACTGGCTGTTGTCGGAAAGGATATCAAAAGGAATAGACAGCTGGCAATTTTCTCCATTTCTTTAGCTTTCATCTTCAAACACTGAGCTGATGGCTAGAGCTTCGGCAGACATATCGGGCCAAGAGGCAGCCTTGAGTATAGAAGCTGTGTTAGTTTGCTCAGGCCATCATGACAATACCACAGACTGAAACAACAAAACTTTATTTTCTCACAGTTCTGGAGACTGGAAGTCAAAGATCAGGGTGTCGGCTAGTTCGGTTTCTTCCATAGCCTTTCTCCTTTGAAGATGACTACCTTCTTGCTGTGTCCTCACACAGTCTCTCCTCTTTCTGTGAACAAGCCTCGAAATTGCCCACATTTCTTCTTCTAAAGACATCGGTCAGATTGTATTCAGGCTCACGCTCATGGCCTCATTTTAATTTAATCACTTCTTTGAAGGCCCTGTCTCCCAACAGAGTCAAATTCTGAGATACGGGGGATTAGGCCCTCAACATATGACTTTTGGGGAGGACACGATTCAGCCCATAACAGAAGCTATGCACTAAAGATGCTAGGACAGGGTAGAAGGTACCTGGACCTCCACTGCCTTCATGGAGCTTCCACACCAGCTTAAACCATTTCCAGCCTTTAAAAATATACATGTAATTCTAACACAATTCAGGAAGCATGGGGATCACTTCCTTGGTCCCTTTGTCAGCCTGAAAAACCTCTGTTATCATTCTAGTCCCAGCTAAAATGTAACCTCTTCTAGGAAACGTCTCTGATTAATCCAGGTGTAATTCATCGTAATAAACTTTAGGAGTTTAAACTGATGTTGTCAGTTTTCAGTTGCTAGGATTGGAAGGTCATTACTAGCAGATTCATGGGGCTTCCCAAAAGAGGAGGGATCTAGCCCGGTGTGTGTTTTCCATGGGTTTGAATAAGAGGAGGGACATTTGGAGGCAAGGAGAGAAAACTGTAGCCAAGAAGGTTGAGGACAGTCACGCTTTTTGAAATGAATTTGAGACGTGTGTTCGGGGGACTTCATCATGACTCAGGACGCCTGGGTTTTCTGCTCTAAGCTATTTTATGGCCTTCCAGTGAGACCTAGAGCTAGTCGGTTCAATCTCTCAGATTTATTTTTTGAGGGGTTTTCCTGGAAAATGGGATAATAACACCTGGCTTGCCAATCTTACAGTGTTTGATGAAGATCAAATAAAAGAATAAATGCGAATATGTTTTGAAAAGCGTAAATCTATATCAGTGTTTCTAAAGCCCTCTGCTTACCTCCTTTGAGATATTTTGTCTTGTATATCGCCTATATTGTGATTTTTCTAAAATTTAGACTGCTCTCAACAATTGTTTATTTTAAAATACTTTTTGTACAGCTGAAACTTATTGGATTTTGTTAACTAATGTCACCATAAAAATAAGTAAATTAATTTAAAAAATAATAATAAAAATAAATTAATCAAAAAACAAAATACTTTTTATCAGAGTCATAAAAAAAGTGACATGATAAATGAAAATGAAAGCAATAGCTACTTACTGTTAAGTGCTAAGAATTGCTCTCTCTGTTAAAAAGGGAGACTGAATTAAGGAAGGTTTAAAGGCAAACTAGTACCAGGTAGACTTCAACTTTTTTCATAATGACAAGAGTTTAAAAAAAGAGAATTGGAAAAGGAAGAACTTCTTGTGATTCAGTTAAATGCTACTTAGTAATGGCTACGTCATATGGACTTACTCTTAAAAAACGTTGACATATAAGAATATTTGGTTCTGTGGAGAGGTTTCCTTAGGAAAGAAAGGAAACTAATGGTTTGTGAATAATTGTTTGTGCCCGTCTCTGTCTGAGCCCCTTTTACCCTCGTGGGAAGCTTGTAATAACCAGTCGATATGGGTGTTAGAGTCTCTTTTCACTTGGGAAAACCAAGGGTTGGGGGTGGGGTACCTTGACTTGACATCGCACAGATGTCAAGAGAGTCACTCAGAGGCAATACGAACTCAGGTGTGCTGGCTCAACGCCCATGGTCCCTCCCATACCACTTTATAATTTTATGATCCAGTTACTCCTTCTGACACATGGAATTTAAGAAAAATGGTGCCCGTTGTCTGCCTATGAGATGCAGTCATCAGAAAGAGGCAATATAGCGTACTGGATGAGAACATGGTCTCTGGAGGCAGACTGCATGGATTCGTAATACTGGCTCTGTCTCCGATTAGCTGTATGACCTTGGGCCAGTTACTCAGCCTCTCTGTGCCTCAGATTCCTAAAGGATAATTATACCGCCCATTTCATATGGTTGTTGTGAAGATTAAACGAGTCGACCTGTGTAACGCATTTAAAATAATGCCGGCACATATTTCGCTCTATCTAAGTGCTAATACTATCCATGCTTTGTGTTCTGGCTACCATGCTATGGCTTGGGATAGAATGTTTCATGTTTGGTTAGGAAGGCAGCTTGCTGAGGCACCTCCTCTTTAAAGCAATCTTCACATCTTTATTCCTCAGGCTGTAGATCAGAGGATTCAGCATAGGGATGACCACAGTGTAGAAGACAGACACAAACTTGTTCTGATCCATGGAACTGGGAGAGCTCGGCTGAGCATACATGAAGGTCACGCTGCCATAGAAGAGGCAGATGATGGCGAGGTGTGAGGCACAGGTGGAGAGTGCTTTGCTTTGAGCCGCAAGGGAACGCATCCTGCAGACAGTCACCAGGATGTAGGCGTAGGAGGCCAGGATGATGGTGACGGTAAAGAGGATAATCAGGGCAGAAGATATGAAGATGATGGCTTCAACCTCAGCAGTGTCAGCACAGGCAAGTCGGAGCACGGGGGGGATGTCACAGAAATAGTGGTTAATGATGTTGGGGCCGCAGTAGGGCAGCTTGAAGATGGACCCAGTCAACAGAGCTGAATTGGCCACAGAAGCTGTATAGGTGGCTGCCACCAGCTGGATACACGAACGTTGGGACATGAAGGTGTGGTAGAGGAGAGGGTGGCAGATGGCAGTGAGTCGATCGTAAGCCATGATGGCCAGAAGCAGACACTCAACAGTACCGTGGAGACTCATGAGGGCCATCTGGACCACACAGGCTGCAAAGGAGATAGACTGGCTTGAAGCGAGGAAGTTCTCCAGCAGCTTGGGGGTATTGACTGTGGAGAAAGAGGAGTCTGTGAAGGAGAGGACGCTCAGGAAGAAGTACATGGGGGTGTGGAGCTGTGGGTCTGTGTGGATCAGAGTGATCATGCCCAGGTTTCCCGTGAGGGTGACTGAGTAAATGAACAAGAAGAGCACAAAGAGGGTGCCCTTGAGCCCTTCCTGCTCTGTGAGCCCCAGCAGGACGAACCGGGTGACCTGGGTGCAGTTCTCCACTGTGGTGCACATGTCACTGCAAAGAGACCAAATAAGACAATTTTGACCATATTTGGGGACAAAGGCCCCCATAGTGTCAGTTCTCGAGGCCAGGGACACAGGCAGTCAAGACTAATGTCATCAGAACGTAGGGAGACTCAGTAGAGCAGTCATCTCTCCCAGCGGTGTGGATTGAATTTTATCTCCCGAAAAGATGTGTTGAAGTCTTAACCTCCGGGACCTGTGAATGCGACTGTTTTTGGAACTAGGGTCTTTGCAGAAGTAATGAAGTTAAGACGTCATACTCAATGAGGGTGGGCCCTTAATCTAATACGACTGGTGTCCTTATAAGAAGAGAAAATGGAGATAGAGTGGGGAGAATGCCATGTGAAGACAAGACACAGAGGGAAGATGGCCAGGTGAAGAACAGAGGCAGAGACTGGAGTGATGCTGCCACCAGCCAAGGAATGCCTGGGGCTTCCAGAGAGAGGAGGCTTCGAAGGAACCATGGATGGCCCTGCTAGCACCTTGATTTTGGACCTGTAGCCTCCAGAAAATGAGGGAATAAACTTCTCTTGTTTTAAGTCCCCGAGTCTGTGGTACTTTGTTACATCAGCCCCAATACACCCAGGAACTAATACACCCAGTTGGGATTGGTCCTGGCTACTGAAGCTCTGATACTTTGATGAAGGCCTCCTGAACAGTTGCCAAGAGATAGAGCTTTCCTGATCCCTCTGTTCTGACAGAGCAAATAATCCAGGGAGAGAAAATGAAATAAAATAGATTAAAATGAAGTCCGTGTTATTATTTACTACTAACTAAGAAAAAATATTTGTCTGGCAGAACAGGAAGCTATAGTAAGTATGAAAACTCCATCTCAACAAAACTACAACCGAGGGACCAAGGTCTTGTGTATTAGCTCGGAACAACTGAAGGCAGTAGGACGTGCCGGATTTGTGGCTTTGGGGTCCAGTGCAGGACACAGTTTTAAGTCAGAATTGGAGATGAGGTCTCTCACCTGGTCTGCCTCCTTAAGCTCCCTTGAGGGGCTTTCGTGTTTATGGAATTTTTCTCAGCGGTTGTCATGCTCTCAAGAATTTGCTTCTGGGGATCCTCACTCTTTAGGTTTTCAAATAACCAAGGTGGCGATTCAGAAAGGAAGCTCTTATATGGGAGACCAGCCAGGGTCTGCTCTGATTAGTCAGACATCTGCTATGATTGGTTGAATGTAGGCTCCGACGGTATGTTTGGGCCATTTGTGTGATGTTTAGAGTTTAGAAAGACAGACAAACATTAGTGAAGTAATCACACAAATTATTGAAAAATTGCAACTGGAACAATGGCTCCAAAGTTGAGGTGCTTAATGCTATGAGCCCAAAACTTTGAATCAGGGAGGTCAAGGAGGATTTGCCCTAGGAAAAGTGTTCCATAAGAGAGAAGAGCAGAAAAGTCCATTAAAAGGCCCTGAGGTCTGAAAGAGCCTAGTGATGAGAGGATGAATAAAGGCCAGTGTGGGTGGAGGGCAGAGAGAGAGAGAGAGGTGTGAGCTGAGGCCAGCAGGAGGGCAGTATTTTGTAACATTTTTTGAGCGCTTATGCTGTGTGTTGGGCTCTGTGCCCCATACCATCAATTTCATCGCGTCCTCCCAACAACCCGATGAGATGTACTATTGAAATCTTCATTTTCCGTATGAAGAAAAGGAGGCACAGAGTAGTTAAGGAAGTTGCCCAAAGACTCAACTGATAAGTGGCAGAGCTGGGGTTTGCATTGAGGTGGTCAGGTTTCAGAGCTTACACTGTTGTTATCCAGCACCCTAGACCATGTTAGGGAATTTGTTGCTTCTGGGAGGCCACTAAAGAATTTTTGCCAGGGAGATGATGAGGTCATATTTGCTTTCTGGCAAGGTTACTCGGAGCGCA